AGGTGATATATTACAAAATGTGTGGAGTTACGGTGCACCGAAAAATGTAATTAACCTTCAAATTAACAATTAATATAATTATCTTAAATAATAGACACTTTTAAAAATGAAACAATACCTTATGGACTTTTTTACAGAAATTTATGAATAAATAATAGATAGGTATTAAAAATAATAAATATTTCATTGGTTATAAWTATGATAATGGCAAAATTAGTATAATACCTATCATATTTTAATTTAATAAAAATTTAAATAATTTTTGAAATATATGTATATGTTTTATGATTGAAAAACCATCTTTTGGCTTATACACCAATATTATAAGCTGATTGTATCCTAGTATATGCACTATGCAAACCATAAACCATACGACAAAGATAGTAAAAGTAAATTGAGATATTGTAAAATGTTAAAAAGCAATTGACTTCAATTCAATTTAAAATAGAAATGTAGGTATTAATAGTTTTTCAATCAATAAGAGCAAATTAATTTTTTAGCATAAATAAGTAGGAGGTACCATGTTTTGGACGTTAAAATGTCGTAAGCTTTTATGTTGCCCGTTTCTTTTAATACTTTACATAAATTTGTAAATGCTTCAGGTCCTCGTCCTTGAATTACTTCATACAATTTTGTTGTTTTAGATGATTCTCCCTCATCACCCTATAACAATAAAGTTTAAATTAAAATAATTGTAAATCATAAATAACATATTGTTATGTGTTAGAGAAGATTATATTTAAATTAAAATGTCTTACCAAAATATAATCTTTCATCCATTTATTGATAACAACTCTTTGAAAAAGAATATCTACGATAGATTTTAAGTCAAAAGTAACRGATACTAATTCTGACATACGCTTATTAATCAATTTTCGATGATGTTGTTCCATTATGATTGAGCAAATTCAAWAATAGTGTAATATACTCAAAGTTAAGTAAGTATTATTGTAGTTTGTAGGTAATTTAAACAACACTTGAAGTAACTGTTCAATRTCAATCACTAATGTCATAGACTAATAGAAAATAAATAGTAATTAGTAAACTGGTAAATCACAAACATGGATATAATAGTATATTATGATAAATAATAATAGTTACTTGTTACCTCGTCTGTTGTTACTAAAATTTACCTGTTGCCCATCGAGTTGCACAGCCGTGAACATTACAAGCACTAATACTTTTTAGTTTTTACTTACTAAATATTAGGTACTGACTACTGAACARTGAACAGTAGAACATTGTTCATAAAACATGACTCATATATATAGTCATGCCTCATGTGTATTATACTAATCTATAATCTATATATTATATTTTATTGTGTACTGTGCACAACGTTACTTGCTAAATGTATTGTATGATAAGTGATAACAGCTAAGACTGAATCTGGCGGTGTTGCCAACAAAACCCAAAATTTATTTATGGTTCCCACAATGAGCGCTGAAGTCACCCGACAGTGTCATGAAGACGTTACTTCTGTGAATTTGTCTTAAATTTTCATTTCACTTTTCAGGAATCTTAAATCATTCTTAATACTTTAGTATTTGATCCACGGTTGTAGATGTTATACAACGACGATTAAAGATATATCTAGTTATTTATCTATTTATTTAAAGATTTTTAAGATATAGTAGTACTAACTATAGTAACTACTAGAAACCATTTATGAAAAACCTTGTTTTAAATGTGAAATCCTTAACGATAACAATTTAATATTTTCTACATTTCACACTCTAAAAAATTTAAAAATTKTCGTGACTGACGAGTGTCAAAATTCGAATAACAATTAACAAATGCTTATAAATAATGTTTGCTTATGATGGAGAGTATSGAGAGTTTTGCTCCTTCACGCGACGGCTTACCTTGATCATTGGTTTTTTGGGATTCTTTCTAGTTAGTAGTTACGCCCACATGTATAGGTATTTTAAGCGTTAAGAAGACAAAAGCTAGAAATACAATTTATTTATTTTAATCATATATAATAATAATATACATGAGCATTTTACCATCTGTAGATTAAAACGATATATTAATTTAACACAGTTGAATGGATTGGTATATAAAAGTACGCAATTATAATAATGTACTAATATTATTTTTATTTAAATTAATAGGTAGGTATGCACAAGGATTATAGTTTGGCTTCTGTGAGAATAAAGTTGATCAAATCGCAAACTACGGGCATTTCTAATAGGATTAGAAAAGTTGTATTTCTATCGTGTTTGTGGTCAGACGGCGGCACGGGGGAAAAAAGCGGAAAACGCGTCTCTTATGGTGTGTAATACGAACGCGTAACAAGCATCAGAACAGCCAGAACGATCGCGAACGACTGCAGCGGATCTAGTTGATACTCTTCCGTCGCCACTGCCGCCACTGTCAACGCAACCACCACCACCACCTCCAACGTCACCGCCACCTCCAACGCCACCACCGCCTACATCGCCTTTTCTGTCCACCGTCGCTGCTAAAACATAACACGACGGCGTCGCACTCACGGTGGTCACTATATGTCGGCCAGTCACGTCCATCGCTTCGCCAGACACTAGTCGCACAGCCCCGTCATCGTCTCCACCTCCGGTCCATGATTCATGGACGGACACGGCACCTTCGAGCACGGCCAACGTGGTGGTGATCTCTTCTTGATCGTCAGCGACGTTCATCACAGTCATGCCTAAATGTAGACGGACAAAACGTTAAGACGAATAGGTACTTTTTAAATCTGAAATCACGATCAAATTAGTGCGATATCTTGTAGACACAACTAAGATCGATCGAAATTCTTTTGTTGAGTGACGTTGTGGGGAGAAGGAGGTGTTTGCCATRACAGAAATGATACACCGACAAATCAGTATTCAGCTCACTGAACGCCAACAGTTTCAGATTAATACAATTTGTAATGACAGTGACGTGCGATATTATGTAACGACTCTTTCTTTAATTCTAATATTACTCTTCACCCTGCAATACTTATACTATAAGTCTTATAGTTATCGGAGCTACTTCTTTGTATTATACTCATCATAATTGTTGACTATGTTATGGTCGCCAACTTGTGTGTATGGCATCGTTTACTTTGTTTTGGCTACTRCAGGTGGTTGATTAAACATGGGAAACAGTTRTGTGCCACGTGCGGGTCACCGAAAAAAGTATGTACGTTTTATRGTCAATTCTCATCAGTGGTGGTAAAATGATTWTTTCAAGAATGGGAGGGAGGATATGGCTGACTTTTAACACGTACTACGAACTATTCGATTATCAAAATGTATAATTTATGCCTATGCGATCTTAAATATTGAAATAAAAGTTACGGGGGCCTATTCCCCCTCACTCAACCCATCTCAGCGGTTTGAGTTTGACTGTAACTACTTGTTAAACAGAGCATAAATAAGTACCGGATCAAGATCACTCGTGAAGGGTTGATAGAGATGAATATGTCACAGATAGTTATGGAGACGTCTGTAAAGGTCAGTGCGTTGAGCAAGTATGAAATAAGAGTGATCGCTAGGCACGTGTCATTGGGTTGAATTTTATGTTATTATTATAAAGTTGCGATTAATTATATGAATAAATTGACAGATTTGAAAAATGTTCAATAAATAAAATTTCMGAGTTTAAGTTTATAACAGTTTAAAATGTATGTATGATGTTTCTTGTAATTGAATCAAACTTTCTAAGGATAATAATTTGAGGAAAATCACGAATACAAAAAATAAGGACTAAATGTCAGATGCTTTATTATGTTCATACCTGGAAAATCGGCAAAAAATAGTAGATCGTCATCGGTGCTGCGTTTTGCGTTCACTATCCAAGGCCGCCACCTGTCCAAGTGCCGGATCAACGGCATAAGCCAGGGCACGGATGACCAGGGTGACCAAGGAGCGTGCAATATATCCACGTTTGGGTCAACCAGTCGCTGGTGAAACCGGCCGTTGAGTGACCCCCAGATGTCCATTTTGACGGACATATTGTCATGTCTTTCAGGCATGTTAGCGGCCACGCACCTCGCGAACTGCTTCAACATATCGCCGTGCAACATCCATTTGCTGTTGTCTGTCCAGACCTACATGGTGACGTTTTATATTAATTATATAATATTATCTGTTTTCAAAGTTTTAAAGTAGGTATACAATGTGTATATTCTAGTAGCTGTAGGTTGTTGATTTATAATTTGTAAATTAATCGAAAAATGTATGGCAAAACATTTCAAACGTATACTTAATGGTCGTATTTGCTTAATTTTCAACGAAATTAAGATGAACGAAATATTATCCTATGTAAGATTCGCAGTCAATGTTTATAAGAATCGTTCGGCTTACCTATATACAAGTACAAGTTATACCTATACGGAACTATTTGTATATTATTCATGAGGTTGAAATTCATCGCAATAAATTAAACGTCTCTTGTGTCTCTATATCATATTATGTCTCTTAATATTATTCAATACAAATACAGAAGTTTGGACAAGTAGTTCATTTTTTATATGCATTTAAAGCTTAGAAGTGCAGATAAGTGAACAACATTTTTGAAGTACCTACCCTTTTAGCACTCTACTCCGTTCATCCAAACTTTAAATGTTTATAATTAA